CATCTCTCTCCAAGTGTTCTGAGCACTGGGTTTGGGGGGGGGGCGGGGCTGGAATGGAATGGAATATACAGTACAGGGGTTAGCGGAATTATAAAGGAATCCACAGCACACTTTTAGGTCTCAAGTTCTCTAACTCTGTTTTCATGGAGGACGAATCATGGGTAATCTCGAATGCTGGGACTGCCGTCATAGCACGCGTATCCTGCGGTATTCTCAATGTAGTAAGTGAAGTATCGTGGTTGGATGATGCATTTAATTCCTTAACTCATATCGTTACAAGAGCTGAGAACTTTGCAGTCACTTTGAGTTGCACCGGTTGAAAATAGGAATTAGGCGCAATAGGAGAATTGAGCACCAACGTGAAACTTTCCACCTTATTAACGTTATCAAACAAATAGAATGAGTTAGAAAAGTGGAAGCCCACAGGGAGCAGTTGAGGAGCCAACTAGGAATAATCACAGTAAGTCGTAGTCCAGTGTAAATAGCCTTCGATAAACAAGATGGAATACAGCAACTACAGGCAGTCTGAGAATATAGGTCCAGCCGCAACCCTGTTTGTTGCATCAATGAGCGCCTGAAGGAAACCAGGCGCGTTCTCACTAAACTGAACCCGTCCAATCAGCAGGCTGTATAGGAGCGCAAGCCTCCATGAGACTGCGCGTAGGCTGTGTCACATTTGCCTCTCTGCCCCTTTTTGTCGGACGGCGTGTGAAGTGGAGACTGCACTACAAACTGCATCGTCTGACGTCCACTCTGGCGCGGAGACTCAGCCTAACACATAGCCAAAGCACACGATAACCTGACTCCGATAAGACTGCGGATTGTTAGGCAAACCACTAACGGAGGTCAGTGTGAGGGCAACGACCGCTGACCTCACAAGTATAGGGCAAGGCTGGTCACGAAGTATACACACACACACACAGCAGTCAGGTTATGACCATGCGAAGTGATGAAATTCTTGCCATTTGTTTATCCGATCGCTGGCTGGGCGATGGATCGCAAGCATATACCGCCGTCACCAAATTACCCCTAATCCGAATCGTGTTACACACCTGTTAATCAGTGATTGCTTAGTTTTCGTCTGTAGGTTGAGTGCGGGTGAGAAAATTTGAAGAAACTGGGAGCGTTTGCGACGCCAAAAGGACATGGCGGACTCGCATCACCACAGATGACTTTCCTGCTTGTGTGGTTATTCGTGAGGTATTCAGAAGCTGCGAACTGAGAATTCCTAAATTCGCGCAACATTGTCGCACCACCACATATGCTGTCCATAGGAATTTGGAGGAAAGGAAATTCCGGAAGTATGGCAGCCGTCAAGTGCAAGTTTTACACCCATGTGATTCGGAGAAGCGGCTTGAATTTTGCCGCAGCCTTGTGGATGTCATGGACATCCATTCAAATCCTTTTACCAATAAGGCTGTTTTCCTTTTGCATGGTGCGGAGAAGCAACAATTTTGTTCAACTCGTATTCTACGCCGATGCAGCGCATCACGTATACAACATGGCGCAATGTTCATAGCATGGGCTGTGTTAACTGGCCAAAGAATCGTGGGACACCATTTTTTATTTTCCGTTAATGCGACCGGTAGGTCGCTGTTTCGTAGCACTAGTGCCTTACGCTTTGCATCATCCTCGTACAAGGAATAACTGCAAAATTGTGTCATTCCGGAACTGTAAGCCTCTTTTGATTTTGTTCAGTTGTGTGTGTTTATCGCATTGCCTATAAATGCGGCTCCTTGCCACAGGTGTCAATACATCAGTATATGCAGCAACGTAGTTGACAAATACACCAGCATTCACAGTCAGGTTTTTGGTTCAGAATGATTGCTCCCAATTCATAGTGCAGATAAGTTCATTAAAGGCATTCCAGTGAATTCGAAGAATATTACGGATGGGTCGCAACTTCTCCTTGAGTGGCTTATTTCGTTCAGTGTTCACGATACAAAACGCCGTGTTATGGTCGCAGCCTGCTAGTGGACTGTCAATGAGTGCACAAGTGGAATGGATCCTCATGGTGAACGCTAAATCTAGAGTATTGGTATTTCTGGTGGCGCCATGACATATATGATGCAGACATTTTGGTGGATAGAGTACAGTTTTTCTTTTAGTCCCGTTTAGACCATAAGTCCAGGTAGTAGCCAGTTGGCGTATTGAAATATTCACACATAACTTGCGCTGAAATTTTGTATGTAGAATACATTAGCTGCTAGTTTTCATGGTGGGTTGCTCGGGGAGGTCGGTCGTCATCATTATGCATGCTAGCTATAGGTAGGAAACCCCTCAGCTACTGTGCCGCAATACATAGAAGAAAAAGGAGAAAAATGCAACAGGTGCAAGTCAGCTGAACTACCGGTAACAGATGGGCGTCGTTCCGGTAAGCTACCAACCGGTTAGTATTCAGCAAACAAATTACTTTGCAGCAGTATATACGGCTAAATAGTGTGATCATCGTTGGATGTGGAGGTTAAAAAGGATGGGGTGGGACAAAGAAACTCACAGCACGAACACCACTGAGGTTGGCTCCTTGCCAAATCAGCAAATGTATCCAGCCAAAGGTGTTCATCGTTTTCAGACCCCAACCAGGGAGCCGAAACGCTCTAACCGAGGCCAGCTCCGAAGTGAGGGTCTTCATTCCTCACCCACCCTCTGACACTGCTATTAGTAATACCAGTGGTCTGTTGCAATCACAGGAAAATTTTTGGTTCATACTTGGTTCACAGATAACCGCGGGAACTGTAAGCAGTAGCGGCGTAAAATCATGGTTTATCCGATTATCAGTAGGCTATACATCTGCGTAGTGGGCACGGAATTTTCAGTCGCTTTGGTTTGCTCAATGCTTCCGCAAGGTGAAGTTATCGTGTAGTTAGCATCGGTCAGCTGTTCCCTTACTTAATGCTCTACAGTTTTGTTACAATGAGCTTTAAGCTCCTATGAGTACTTGTTTAGGAAAACATGCCCTTATGCTGGCAACTCAGTTCATCCCGCCCTTAACTGACTTACATTGCAAATCAGTCATACGAAGCAGCATTCGCATTTAGCCGGTTAACTGTAAAACAGAAAAGTACAGATTCAGTGAGTAAAGGGCTAATACGGGAATAAGCACACGCAGGGGGAAGCGTGAATTAACCTAATGAAGAAAACGTTATAGTGAATGATTCTAGCGTAGATGGATTGAATAGGATACGCTTGGCTGTTGCACCATGCTTTTCTATGGCTCCAATGATTATATTAGTATACATACACCCAAACCACCGAAGTTGTGCACCTACACATCCTGATGACCTCTCTATGTTGACCGCTTGCTACCATTTCTCGGACGTTCACCATGAGAACCTTATCCATACGTTTGCATATTGACCACCTCTCTATGCCGACCATTTTGGTACAGTCCCTTGAGTGATAACATTACGGAGATGTGCTTGTAATGTTACATCTTGTGTGCACCCATAAACGTAGGATCAAGGGATGTCTATCCTAACATTCCATTTTAAACACGAGGAAATAAAGCGGCAATTCATACTTCTCCCAAGGTTAGAGGCGGTTCCAACGCTTATTTGTGGTTGGAATTCACCCAGTTGTTACCAGGTAATGGTCACTTAAAACACAGCCTGATGGTTTGTTGGAATTTTAGTTTGCGGTTGTTTCTTAGTGAAGTGTATCAACCATTTCACTAGTCTGATCGAGAATAACCATGGAAGACAGATGGACGGATCCGATAGCATTTTTCCGACGACGTGTTCGTTGTTGCTAGCTTGGAATCTTTTGTTTCTTATCACGGAGCTCAGGTATATATGTTCAAAGTTTTCGCTTTAATGTTATAGACCAGGTAAATCCAACAGTAGTATGCAGGTGTGTGGTCAAGAATGGATAATGCACCCTGGTACAAAACATTTGAATGACACCTTTAAAGTGTCTTCATCCAATCAAACCACGGCACTGGTGCATGAATACAAAATTCTTTCAAATGCATGAAACGTGTGTTGAAGTAAAAGAATGATGTTTAATTCTTCAGCACAGCTATCATAACTTACCAATACCATCTAACCTGTAGTATTGCTCATTTGTGTCTTCGAACGTGACAGGATCATATGAGACAGACATCAGCCCTGTGCAATGTATCACTCAAATCTACGGCTGTAATTTTTGTGGTGAACTCCATGTCTTCCTTTAGCTGACTGTCAACTAACCAGTGGGATAAAGGACACAAGCGAGGCCTAGGTGCAAATGCTTAGCAACGTTCGTCAATCTAATTAACAATGCTGCATATCCACATCCCATACACACAATTCTTGCACTATCCATCCATGAATCAGGTGTTATTTCCCTTTGAATCGGTCCCTTAACGATTTTTGTATCTTTGTTAATATTACCGCAGTCAACACTACACCTATACGCGAAGGTTAACTTTAGTGCGTCGGTATGACGGCTCTTCGCTACTGGTTATGGCCTGTGATAACGTCTGGGGGTGGGACCGTTAAAACGATGTCTATGGAGTCGGTCCGGTGTAAAAACCAGCCTACTGCTTATTAGAAGAAAGGACAGATCTCAAGTAGCGAACCGACTCAGTCTCAGCATCATTAAGAATCGCATTCACTGAGAACATCATCAGTTAATTGTCCCACAACGGATGAATTGGATACTGTAGACAGCATCAAAGATGAATATGGCTTGCTCAAGCGGTTCCAAGTTGTCATCGGGCTCATTCACACATTTTCCTGACGTGATACAATATTCACAAAGGAGAGAGCTGTTTATCTTGACCAACATGTAAGTGCTTTTACACGAAGGGCTTACTGACAATGGTGGAGATTGCGTAGCGTCATCAATAACAAGCTTGGAGGGCAATCACGTTCAACCGGACGTCCTTATTTTGCGGTACCATTAATGGCACACCTTACTTGTTTTAATTTCATACCTGTTGTAATCCAGTTATTGGCAATCTAGCCAGGTTTAGCTTTAATACCATTGACTACAATACATTTATTGCATCCCTTTTATAGCAGCTTTGGAAATTTCGAATATTGAGTCGACTCTGAACAGCGTGAAGATACACTGGAGACTCCTGTCTCCCGTGCAAGCGAACTATGGGTATCACCTAACCTTAGTGGATGCATCAAGGGAAATACATTTCGATATCCCTGCTGTCCAAACGTGGTACAAACTGACCAACCTGTCATCTTGCACAGAATACACAATCCTCCTCACTTCCCATTATATGTCAATGATCTCCTTACCGTTGGTCACTCGAACGAAAACATATCCTCGAGGTAAGTTGTCACTTGATGGCCGGCTGATGTACCAATTTGAGCTATGTGTAGTTCGTGCACTAAAGGCAGCTAACACATTGCAGCGGCGCAACAGTAAGTTCGATTTTGTCAGAAGAAACTCTAACCTATGTTTTGCATTTCACTCTACAACCTTTTTTATAACTGCAGCATTTAAATCATTATATTAGAGGCGGGTATTATTTAGTATGGCACTTTCCGTACACAATGCCATAGTGAGTAGCAAAAGTGGTCTTCATAATTCGGGACGAACTGAATCGACAGCCAGCTCTACCTTCTCTTAGACAATTTCAACCTCGCTCCTGCATGAGGCAATCCGGCTTGTACAACTTAGACACTAAGGAAACCGACTCCAAAATTGTAACATTTTACTGACATGACCTCGGTCTCTGAGGTTCGAAGCTGTTTGCAGAGATAAATGCACATTTCAGTTCTACTTGTCATTAGCGCATCCAAAAAGGCAAAACAGTTGTTATACTCTAGTTCGCATGTAAACCGGGCATTTGGGTTTGCGTTCTTCATTACCTGAAATAGGGATTTTACGGCAATGATGTTTGGAGCAGTTCCCAACGGGTCATAAACGTACCGCTTGTACAGGCACATCTGGACAAGTTGTAGTTCACAACGCGATTCGACCTTAGCCACGAGGATATCTGCAAGCATAGGGCCTAGTTGACTTACCTTAGTAACACCGTCCATCCGTCGGATTTACCTTCGAACAAGAAGTGAACCTTCTCAGTGCATAACAAAATTAACTCATTCAGGTATTTCATAATTATCTGTAAAGCAACTTGCATTTCCATCACAAAAGCATATACGTATTCCGCCGTCGCCTTTAACGGGGAGTTGGTAAAGTGATTGAGCATCAAAGGAACACATAATTTTATCAGTAATATTCATGCACGTGTTCGATTAATTCAATGTTGTCTTGCACGGTGCGTTAAACCATCATCTGCTCACTGGTTCAAGTGATTCAACTAACGGCCGAGCAAGTTTGTGATACGGGACGTTAGTCAGGGACAGTATAGACCGAAGAGCGTGCCCTCCTTGTGGCTTTTGGTAGGCCGTACATTTGCGGGGTGCAAATTCCCATTGATTCAAGCGCATTGTACATTTATCCGTCATTATTCCGTTGTGCAGCAGTATTTTTAATTTGCTGGTTACCGGCTTTCAAGTTGGGATGTGACGATTCCGCTAGTATTCTTCTAAAACTTGCAATTAGCGCTTAAAATCCATTTGTGTTGTTTATCTAGTCAGATGTATCCATGATAAAATCTGCGGTAAGTTTGTCCGGATCAAATAATTCTACAGTTAGTTTGACGCAGAAGGCCGATGGCCGTGTGCAGTTGCCTACCGTCTTTAGCTTATGGTGAAAGCCGGTCATACACTGTTGTTTGCCCCACCATTCAATAGCCATCCAATGTTTAGCTAAATTCGCAAACTGCTACTGCGCTTGCAGAGACATGAATTTCTCTCTCACCTTAGTGGTGAGGACGTATGGAATTCTAGGCAGACGAGTGATTTAGTGTAGGGCTCAGCTGAGTGCAGGCGTCATCCGGTAAAGACGCACCGACAAGAAGCTGTTTTGGTCATCGAGCGAGATGAGTACAGACGGCCGCAGCGTGTTTCCGGCGTTCGTTAGCTGTCAGCTAACTTCGCGTTGAGTGCTGAACGTCATGGGTAACCGTAGGCGTTGTAGCGATCAGTGGTTATCTGTGTGTCTCGCTGGCTAAGCAGCGAAGTCGGTGTAGGCGAAATAAAAGGCGCAACGGAAACTCCGGCGTGAATGATGGCAGCTCAGCGAACCGGGTGTTGGATTATCTGAGGGCAATGTTAGGCGTCGCAAGTCATTAAATCACTGCCACAGGTAATGGAGCATGAGTAGATAACGCAGTCTGGATCACGCGACGTGCCTGTTTCTCAGAGCGCGCTGATTATTCGGCTATACGGTGAATGCGATTTAAACGCCGCACCAACTTCACGAAAGTACAATGCTTTGGACGCAGGAATAAATCCCGGCACCGCTCGATACTTTCTTAAACCAGTGAAGAAGTTCGAGCAACCGGAGTGTGTATGACATGAAGAGAACCGGACCGCCTCGCACCACCACGGACGACTGTTCAGCTTGCGCTGTAGTCAGTGAAGTGTCAATAAGTCCCGACCTCAGCATTCGTCGGATCGCACAACAATGTGACACTACCCGATATGCAGTATACTGGATATTACAGGGACGAAAGTTTCGAAGATTCCGTGCACTTCAAGCGCAGGTTTTGAATTCTTGCGATCCTGAGAAGCGGCATGAATTTTTCCGCTGGTTTCTGCATCAGGGGACATACGTTCTGTTATCTTTACAGATGAGGCATTGTTTCATCTGCATAGAACAAGGAAAAATTACAATTGGGCTACCAGCAACCCACGAAAATTTACAGCGTCACGTATGCACCACAGTGTAAAACTGATGGTTTGGGCCGGATTAACAAGCCAGAAAACCTTGGGCTTATATTTCTTTTCCGGGAAGGTTACCGGTAGGTTGTTGTTCTGGAGTACTAACGCCTTATCTTTTCCTAGCCTCGTAGTACTTAACTAAAATAAATAAATATTTTATTCTCGACAAAGCGAGGCACGCGTTTTGGGCATGATCAGAATATTGCAATACTGTACATGATAGCATGATTAGCAGCACCAAGCGCGGGTGTAGTACAGTTGGAGACAGTAGTGTGGGTCCATATGGCCCAAAGGTTGTACGAAGTCTGTGTCCACAGAATGTGAGACGTAGAGATAAGAACCAGGTCACTAATGTGGAGCATGTTGATGAGGAACTAGTCCGATTAAGTTGTGTACACAGTGCAGATCAGGTGAGTGAAGCATGGGGAAAAGCTGAAAAAATATTTAAGAATAGTGGCATGTCACTAATCAAATATGTAGGCGTGTTCGTAAGGGAGCAGATATATGCACAGAATTTGTAAATGTGGCATCTGTCAACTTGCCAATGTGTGTTAGGGGCGGTGACTTTATTGAGTGGCGAGTCACATCCGCCACGTCGCAGTGTTGCTAAACAGACACTTGTGGCTTTTTGTAGGGAAAACGCTTGCCAGACGTGGACCCACCACGTCCTGGAACACTTGGAAATGCTGCAGACGTTTGTGTTTCCCCAGTTGGAGGTCGAAGGTGCATGCAGTACCATTCGGTGGCAGCAGGATGGTGCACCGGCACATTCTGCTAAAACTGTTCGTGCTTACCTCTCCGACAAATTTGGTCAATATTGGATCGAAAGCGGTGGACTATTGGAGTGGCCTGCTCGCTCGCCAGATTTAAATCTCATGGACTTTTTTCTATGGCGTTATCTGAAGCGGCGAGTATATAAAACAAGGCCGCGTACATTGGACCAATTGAAAGAATACTGTGAACGAATGTTGCGCGAGCACGAGGGATATATCGGAGAAAGTGTTCGCCAACTGCATCAAACGGTTTCTGCACTGCAAGCAGAACGCCGGCGGATCTTTTGAACATATCCTTCACTAGCATAGATGACTTTCCAATACATTTCTGTTACTATACCTATCCTCTTTCACAAATGTGTTAACGACTATACTGGTCCGCTGGCAAATGGTGTTAATGTTGCGTCCGGTCGGATAGAATTTTTGACGTCCAAGCTGTCCTTGAGCACATAAACAGCGTAGGCACCGAAACTTTTGATGGCTACTTATGACGGACTCACTGAGTCTCTATGAGCCGAGGTTCGTCCAGCCTTAATGAAAAGCCGACTGTGTAGTTAACTCGGTTTTAGGCTATTGCCTGTGAAGTTGGTGTTCCGGATGAGTTGCAGTAGGTGGCGACATGTGTAAGTGGGGTGGTTCCGTAGCTGGTAGACTAGCATGCAGTCTCCACGTAGCGACCTGTAGCGTCTACTGCACACCCCGAGTATTTTTATTCGCTGCTGGTAAGAAAGGTTGGACCATCTCTTGACACCTTTTGTTGCTCGACCATGGTGAGTTCCGAGCGCTGCAAGGTTACGCTTTAGCCAAGCGTGCCAAGCCTGGATTGCGTATTCGACGTGGGAACGCAAGTAGGCATGGAGCACCACAGAGAAGAGGAATTAATCCGAACTTTCGAATGCCATCCGCAAGCTAACAATGTGCTGGTTACCACGTTTGAAAGGGATTCCGACTGTCTTGAATAACCGAAGTCGTCCTGCACCCGCACACCGACGTCAAGTTCCTGAGGGCTTGACTACAGGTGGCATGCCACAATTTTGTAGAGATAGGCGTGTCTATCGCGGGTGTGGACAACTTGTCACTTGGCTACATTGAATGATAGTAAATTCCTCACCGGTGAATGCCAGGTCTGATCTAGGTCGCACATATAGGACCTTGTATCGGTCCATTCCCTTGATCGCCAGCCGAGTATTAAGGTCATCCGCGAAAAATAAAACATTTGAAGTGATGGCTCTCGCAAGACTGTTGCACTCCACTCGATTAGGGTCGGCAGAGATGTTCGGACTCCAACCTCGAACTGCTGTTCAAGGAGCAAATTACCAACCCATCCTAATAATGTATCGCCGACGATTTCCAGGTAGCCCATCGTTACGTCAGCGATGATCACTTCCATGTGTTTGGAAAGCGCAGTGAGATGTGTTACCGGATGGTAATTAGTCGGATGAGACGGACTTCTCTGAAAGTATCCGACAAGTGGCTGGGCTAGGTGAATGGCAGCTGCCTGCAGTGCTTTAGGGTGAAGGTTTTCCACTCCAGGAAAGCTGTGTGTACCCAAGGATAGTGGCTTTTTCAGAACCATTTTTGCTATGCATTTGATGCTAGATAACACTGGTGGTGTGGGAACAGAAGCAAGTATAAGGTTTGAGGTTAGTACCCTTTCGAAAGTAGGCAAGTACTGGACCCGTGGGGCGTTGTACATCTTTTTTCTTGTATGTGTATACCCACCAATCGTACTGATGGGTGCGATTCCACGCTGCAACATGCAAA